GAGTGGCAGACTGCGCTTGAATTCTGTCATATTTTCAATCACACTTGGCTGCAAAGGAGCATACGTTAGAAAAAGTCTGCTCAGTATCTCCAAGCAGAAAAGCGAGAAATTCCTCACTTTTCATTTTAACTTTTGCTACAGCTACATACAAACACATCTTTCTTGCTCTCTTCTACAGTATCAGTTATTTACATTTCATGACTATAGGATCACTCAAAATATAGTGTTATTTCTTACGAAATAAATGGTTTCATCTTTACTCTAGACAGTTTAAAACAGTAGCTATAATGCAGTAATTGCATTACTAATAACGGCAGGAACTTTAGTAAAAGCAAGCTTGTATTTTCGTTCACAAATTCTACTTCAGAACATCCCAACCATTCTTTGAATGTCAGAGGTAAGATCACAAAAACAGCACCAACTCAATGAACTATTATTTTTAGTTGCAGTAACAAAGTAACTTTTTTATATTTCTGTCATAATTGCTAATACAGCCAAGTAAAATTCATACAGAAATTTCCAGTCATGGTGATTACTTCAAGGACTGAGTAAGAACACATCTACTACTATGTTGTGAAAAGTTAATTATCTACTGGGACAAAATTACCATCCTTCAAGAAAAAAATCACTTAAGGTCCTGTAAGGGCCCAGTGCTATCACGTCTAACCACACAGTGAAATCTGTAATACCTGCATGAACAGAATTTGTCAGATTGCTTCCTCCACAGGCTGCACATCAACAGGACTGTGCATTAATATTTTAGGCTTTAAGATAACGACCAGGTACTTGATTTTGCTGTTTCTGGTTTGGGTTTGTTGGGTATTTTTTTTAAACAAACTTGATAAATTTTTTGAGGCATATACATCTTTCTCTTGGCACTACATACATCCAATCAGACAAAAATAATCTGTATTTTATTCCATAGTGTAGATACTCAGTAGAGTTTATTATTACTATTAGCTTTCCTTTCAATGGGATAAAAGGAACTTTTTTTAAAATTTTAAATAAAAATCAGGAAAAAAACCCCTGCTGCTATTGATGACAATACATGTGGAAAAGAGCTGAAACGTCAGCCCCACAACAGCATGAGTTTCAAGAAGCTCATTTCTCCCCATAAATTTATATTGAATGATACTAAACTTCCATATTATGAATACAGACCGGGATGTTGTGTATGTTGCTTCTTTTTACCTGTGGTAGTGGTGGTGCTGGTGCCAGGTTCACATCATTTTGGCATGGAAATTCTCCAACAACAGGGCCTATTTAACACCATCAACATTAATTCAGGACCATAATTTAAACAGTACTTTTTACATAATAAACTGTTTTCTCTTATAAGATAGGTATCTATATGAAGCACAGGTTGCTAATTTTAAACTCTCTCTAAATAAGATTTTCTGAACATTTTATGCTTTTATCCTCCATGGCTGTCTCTGTATTTCTAAAGAGCTCAAAACATGTGCTGAGCTGGTGACTTTTATTCATTTTACTTACACATAAAGTGAACACAGAAATAAAAATTGCCAACTGACTGATCAATGAACACTTAGAACAGTTTTCCAGTACGAATTATAAGAAAAGTAGTAAATTCCAGTGGTATATGCAACAAAAGCAATGCAACAACAGCATATCTTTTAGTAAGGGTATGCCTATAGAGGCATGGAGGTTACTCCACATATCAAAACTCTGGATAGCAACCCCTAGTCTTCCCTGCCTGTTCCCATGTATGCCTTGTTCCAGTCCCTCAAAACCTCTTCCTGCATCCAATCCCCTTGTCCATGAGGACTTCTAGTCTTAAATTCCTTAAACCTCCCTTCTACCTCCATACTCAAATTTCAACCCTAATTTGCACCCTGGGAGCTCAAGGGCTTCCCCTTTCTAAAATCCCAGATCTCTACTGCTTCTGCTTCTTTTCCACCCAGAGAAAATGGTGTGCCTGCCTCCAGGAGGATGGGCTCTCTCTCTGGGAAGCTCTTTAGCCTTCGTCCTTTGTGTTACTCTCTAGAGGATGGGCACCTGCACTCGGAAGAAAGCTCCTTTGGAATAATGGGAAATTTATTTAATTCCCAATTTCTCTTTCATAGCAGAAGAAAGGCTACATGCCAGATTAAATGGCTTAGGACTGGGGAGTATGTGGAGAGAACACCTTGCTATGATCACAGTAAGAGTAACCACTTGTTAGGTTGTCTCCTATGCTCACCCTTGCGTTGGGAAGATGTCATTCCAAGCAAATAATAAACCATTCTGGCAACATAGTTACTAGCTAGTTAAAAGTTCTCTCTACATAGGAAAAGTGTTAGAGCTATTTCTGTTTAGCAAGGATTAGTCATGAAAACTCTAAAGATGCTTTGGAGCAAGTCCTCCTTACTCAGCTGCAGAGTTACAATTTCCATGGTACCACAAAAAGCAACCACTCTGACACTGAAAAGAGTTTCATGGCAGGCACACAGCTATCTGCTTCTTTCTGTTCTAGGGATAAGCCTTTAACATTCTTGATTTTGCAACCAGTTACATGTTGGAATTTAAGTTCAGTATAAACTGGTGAAAAATCCGCAAAAAACATTAAAGTTTTTCTTCTCATTTATATTAACCAGAAACCCTTTTAACCTTTTCCTTCTTGAATCCTAAAATGGAACAACATAATTTACAATGCACAGTTAATCTAGATTAAGTCAAAATAAAACCCCAAAAAACCGATTTTGTCAAGTTTAAATATAATGTTTGACATTCCCAGAGGCTTGTTTTTTGTTCAGTTGGTTGTTGGTTTTGGTTGTTGGGTTTGGCTTTTTTTTCCTTTGAGAGTGCTTGAATAAAATTATGGATATTCACTGCTTGTCAGGAACAACAAACAAGGAAACAAACCCACAGTGTACTGATAACTGCAAATCCCAATTTTCCTTTTTTCTCTGCAAGACTATTACAGAGCTTTATGTTTTAAAATATTATCTTAAAAAAAAGAAGTGCTATTTTAAGATATATTGTGTTAATACCAATACATTTCAGAATGGCTGAAGAACTTCAAACATCAATCAGAAAATCTGAAGCACCCATGTGAAGAAAACTTAAAAAAAGAAATATTTTTTCCTCTGAAAGGTACATATCTCCAGAGCAGAGTTTTTTTATTTATTGAATACTATATTCAGCACAATACTTACAGGAATCCATTTCCCTTGCAAGGACATGTACTGATACCTTGTGTCTTCTGGGAGCATCTACTGCCAGCAGCACCTACAGTAAAATCAGAAAGTCTTTCAGGTGTGGGAAGTATCAACTAGGCATTACAGCTATAAAACGGTAAAAGAATGAGAGTACTTAAATTTTAATTTAAGCTTTAAAATGAGGGATGAATTTGGAATGTTCCTTCAAATATTATTAAAAGTCATCCATACAGTATTTCGAATTATTTTACAATCAAGTTAAGAAATTCGTGTACAGTTTGGGACTCAGAAAAGCTGGAAGTAATAGGAATTCAGCCATTAACTATCAAGGCATCAGGAATACAACCTAAAGTCTCTGCAGAATTTTCAATCGCCAGCAACCTTCTGGAAGCACATCACCCTGAACACGATTATTAAACTCAGCTGGACTAGCTCACCATCTAGCCAGTTATTTCTGCTCTGGAATACCAGATAATCAAGTATTGAGCATTTGTGTAAGCAAAATAGCATAGATTCCTACAAAACCAGGATGTGGATACTTGTCCAAGTTATAATTTATTTAACAACAACGACTGAAATTCCATTCACTAAGTCTGTATTTGCTGAATACCTTCACCCATGTCACCATATTAAAAAAACTCCAAAAACCAAAAGACCCAAAAATATTAAGTGTTCACTGTGCCATGTAATTAATAACCAGTTTTAAGCATTAAGACTAAATCTCATAAAAACAGTAATGTAAGAATTACCTTGAACAGTGAAAAGGATAAGACAGAGTACGAGAGAGAAAACGTTTTGAAAGACATTAGCGCCTCCCAAGACAGAAAAAGAGAACACAGATACACGCATACCCATGCTTCTTCATGGGCAGAAGTTCTTTCCATCCAATAGTAAGTTCTAAAGACCTATCTCTACATTATTTTTCAAAGTATTCCCTGAGCTATTAGCTGATCCATAAGTAATAAAATAACATGTACACTTTGCAATATAGTGAATTATAATTGCCTATGAAATTTGTTACAAAACAGAAAGAATGAGGCCAAATTTATTTTTTGGGGAGGGGATCCTCCTAGTATTTCAACTGCTTATATTATATACAGAGATAGATATCTATCTTCACACCGAGTTGCAATGTACAATTATTTCATCATTATGCAGGTCCTTTCTTTTGCCTAACTATGAGAGGAAGAAAAAAAAGTGTTGATTTACAGTGAACAAAGCTTTAAAAATATCTGTTCCATTCACAATCCATGCATACAAAATAAGCTGAATAATTTACTGGTTGAAGTTATATACACACACACACACACACACACACACACACACACACACACACATATAAAAATATTTTTAAAAAAAATTAAAAAAAGAACAAATTTGCAATTTTGGCCAAGTCTGGCCATAACGCTGCACATTTCTTATTCATAAAGAAAGGATACATGAGAAAAGAGGAGATTAAGGAAAAAAAAGACACAACAGAACCCAACCCTTCTCCGCAATTTTTACAGTACGGTAGTTGACTAGTATTAAACTAAGTAAGATTCAGGAAACAAAATTATAATTAAGGCTTCTACATCAATCTACCTAAATCATCTACCAAAACCAGGCACAAGTATATGCCTTCATAGTTCACACAAATAACATCCAATTATATCTACATCTCTCTCCAAGTAACATTTTAACTACAGGACTGACTTACCTTGTAAAACTGTATAATATCATCCTTGGTCATAGTCTTTAGATAAGCCACTTCAATATTATCTGCACAATAATAGCAAAAATTAGAGCAGGTCTGCAAATCATAGCTGGTTATTAGTACGCTGCTTATTCAAAGTATATTTCTTTCAAATTCAGATGCTGTAATTGACTGCAAATGATATGCTCTTCATTGTTAACTTTCAAGCTAATACTTGCATCACTAAAAGTGCAATTGGAAGCTTGGCAGAAAATTACACTTCAGTAAGCCCATGTGATTGGGCTTACTAAAAAATGCATATTTGAAGAATACTGATTGCATTGTGTGTTATTCTGTAGCTAAAAAAGATATGCCTACTTCTGTATATTATATTCAAATACATTTCTAATGCAGACTGATTACAGATGGCTTTTATGCACAGCTAGGAAACAGGATGGTAGTGTGTATTTGGCAGGGTGTACTTCTACATAAATGTAAGGAATAGTGTCTACATCTAACCTGTTAAGGAATAATCACCTTTAAGAAACCAAGGGACAACTCGTCTCAGTAGCTACCATCACTTATACGAACTGTAACGATGTAATCACGTAGTATCATTGCTGCATAAGCAGCAATGTTTTTTCTTGTAAGTATGCTTGCTTTTCTTAGGGTTAAGCAGGAAGATCAAGAAAGAAACACATGCAAGAAAAGAAGTATGCAGCTAACAAGTCTGTGAGGCAGGCTGTAAGTACTCAATATGAAGCTCTACATGGAGGAAATAATTTAAAAAAAAATCAACAAAACACAGTTTGGAAAATTAGATGGCATCTGGGAGAAAATTTTTAAGTTATGTAAACCAGTAAAAGTAGTATAAGAAACATGTAAAAACCTGAAGAAAAAGCCCTTTTACTTCTTAGGGCTGGAATATCAATTTCTGATTTTCATTATTCTAGTCATATTAGAATCATTAATGAAATAAAATTACTAGTGGGTAGAGAGGAATTAAAGATATAAAAAGTCAGGGGAAATAATAAGTTGAGTGGAATTTAGATATGAAAGACACGGCTATAACTAGCAGTAAGAAATTCCGAAGAGATAATAGGGATCCAGGTATGGTAAAACCAGAAACATTTAAGGCAGATAAAAATTAAACTGTTTCATGAGTACAAAAACAGTACTTGAGGGGATAAGTTTCCACGCCACTCCTTATGCTCGAGCGTGAAACCTTGTCAGTAGCTTTTACTCTCTCGAGACCAAGCAGTATAACAACTCAGAATTCTCCATTATTAAAACAGTTTAGTTAGTCAGTGTTGACCAACAAGACTATTTTCTACTGTGGAAGGCCAATACTGTGCACGTAACACAGAGAAGAAGTCACAGGAGAGAGAGTGAGTTTTATGTAGGAAGCATATTATGCATGGAAGATGGAAAATTATAGCTGTGAATAAGAGTCGAGACATGAAAACGTGAGGAAAAGCTCATCTGTACCTTAAAATGATTTTTAAAAAGCACTAGAAACTACGTTACTAATATACTTTAGTATTTTTCATTAAAAAATCTTCAGACAATTAAGAAAAAGGAAAAAATACAACTTAGATACTATGTGGGATCACAATGTAAGTAACTGTCAGTCCATTTTCAGTAATAACACTAGACGGTGGATCTCAGTTGGTCTTCTATAAGCTTATAATCTTCAAAGTACCATGGGAAAAACCAAACAGCCCAAAAATTAAAGTGTCTTCAAGCCTCCTGTAAGCTGAGACAGGTCACATGGTAGATACCTGCTGCAGCCTCTGCCATGGCTACCTCAAAAGAGCTGTGTGACGAGAAGAGGGACAGGGTTCAAACAAATGTGTGCACCATCAGGAATGTCAAAGTGTGTTTGAATGCATCTTGGTCAAACGTTAAGCACGTATGTAATACAGACACCTGAACATCTCAAAGAAATTTCAGCTTACACGACACCAACGTTTGCATTCAAACCACCTCCAATCCTTGATCTGCTCTAGGTCTCACTGAGCCTTAAGGGAAAGAACGGAAGGTTAATGACGCATTCGCCAACCGCCATCACATTTATCCTCTATTACTAATGGCTCCCCCAGCAGTGAGAGCATAGGCCCCACAAATAAGGTATTTTCTCAGGGTAGAAGGAATAAATACAACTTACAGAGCACAGATCCGAGAAAAATGTATTAAATTATGCACAGGCTATACAAAAGTTTAAGTTGTTTCCAAATGAATATGATACTCAACAGTCACAAGTGTAGCCAAACTGCAGCATTCAGTTCTAAAGGAATTATAATTTGTCTTACCTCTGTCAAAGTTATACTGCTGGGAAATGATCTCTCCCCAGTATTTAGCACATTCAGCAGACAGCTTCTTTGGTTTGTCTAGACGACGAATTGCTAAAGCTTGGATGTGTTTTTGGAAGGCCTCTTCTGTCATATCTTCTATGCATTTCTCCATAGTTTTCAAGAATGCTTCTACTCTGCTTTCTAAATAATGTGGTGGCTTTTCAGATTGGATAATAAATCGCAGTCCTTGTATGCCATTGGCCCGACGTGGACCACTGAACACAATGTAACCTGGGCAAAACAAGAGCAGTCACAAATGAAAAGAAATCCCTGGTCCCAGCATTCAGCTCGCCAAACATGGCACATTTGACGGGCTAAGTTCAGTTCTGTATTATAAATGAAACAACGCAAGTTTTCAAAATAAGCCACTGTATTTTTTAAAGACATTTTTATTTCACCGAGGTAAATACCAGCGCAGGGGAGGGGTGAGGAGGAGATGAGGCAGACCAAGACAGAACAAAAGGAATTCCTTCATCAGGATTAGGTAAGCAGAAATTAAGATGTGGTCTAGTGCTTCATTAGACTCAACATTATGAACTTCCTATTATTTTTTCGTAACACCTAATCTGAATTCTCTTTGCTGCCATGTAAGACCGCTATTTCTCATCTTATCAATTAGATACAAAAAAAAAGCAGTATTCCCTTCCTTTTTGTAGCAGCTTTGGCTTATCTGACCAACTAAGCCTTTCTTCAGTCTTCTTCCCCTCTTTTAATAACAAATCTGTCACATTTTGGTCTTTTAAATGGTGTTTTATAGCTCTCCAATCGTTCCTTGATGCTTATGTCAAAACTGGATACAGTATCCCAAAGTCCTTACCTGAACAAGGCAGAAGTATTAGTGCCTGTGCATCTTGGAAGCTCCCATGTATATAGCCCAGCAACTTACAAGGCAGCATGACACTGCTGATTTATGTTCTACTCCTGATTCACTGCAACCTGTAGATTGTTTTCTACATAACCACTACCTAGTCAGCTGCTTCCTAACTTGTATCTGTGCCATTGATTACTCCTGCTACACCGTTCCTGCGAAACTGCATCTTACCTTATTCGTGTTTCCCAAATGCCACACTGATTTTGAATTCTAATTCTATCTTCCCACACACTTGCAGCCTCACCCAGCTTAGTATTATCTGAAGACTTAGTAAGTATATTCACTCTTCTATCACCCAGAGTTCTGATGAAAATACTGAATAGCAGTGGATCAAAATACAGTTCCGTAGAGCACCATTTTTAAAATGAACTATTCTTATCTATTCTCCAGTCATGACTTTCCAAACAGTCTTGCATCCAAACGTGTAGGACTTCCACCCAGGTGCTCCCTAGCCTGTCTGAGAATATTACACGCCTTTCATATCATCAAGAGGAAACGTATGACATCATCACTTCCATCCACACAGCCAAACTCTGCTTGTATGAAGATAGGTTAGGTTAGTTTGACCCAAGTTTGTCCAGTAATCGGCTCTCAGATACTTTCTATGAATTTAGAACTGGCTTGACAACTTATTCTGTATTTTCCAAGAATTAGAATTAAGCTGACTGATCCGTAACTTCCCTGCTCTTCTCTGTCCCTTTTTAAGGAAACATATAGCATTTACCTGTGTTTATTTTTCCAGTACCTCACCTATCATCCACAAATTCTTAGTTATAAGACTTCTAATTCCAGAATTTAATAATTTTCAGTTGTCTGTTTTTTTTTAAAGTAGTGAAGTTCATAATGCCTGAACTCTTTAAAAGTTTCTAACTTACCTGAACAACCTTTAATCTGTTATTTTCCTGTTCAAATGTAAGCCTTGGATGTTGATCATCAGTATTTATTTTAAAATCATCTGGTCACAGTTGACATTTTAAGTGAAACTAACAAAGTAATCTTAAAACTTTTCTTTTTTCCCAGCATTGACAACTTCTCTCTTCCTCTTGCTTGTACTGCTAAAGCATTTATTGGATGAGTTCTTGTTACTACTTCTAATATTTAGCAAACTGTTAACTCCTGAACTTCTTTTCCCTTAGCTTTCTCAGAGATTTTATTAACAATTACATGAAGTTTATTCAATTTTTCTGGTACTTCTACTGTCTTCCCTATTAAGTCTTGTGAGCTTTATCATTTGGCAGTTATGCAGTGCTGGACACAAAAAGTTCTTCCTCATTGCTTCCCCCTTGTCTCTTTAGCTGCTACTGCCAACTTCTGTACAAAACCTGCCACTGGCACATTGCAAAAACCTGCCAAATAACCTGGGTCCTGCCCTATTTTCAGCAGATATCTGGACAGTTAAAATCCCCATGATTAATATGATATGGCTGATTCTGCTAGTTGCTCATAAGGAGTCTAATTTTGCCTCATATCCCTGGTAGTTCATAGTCATCACACTGAGACATTTGCCTGCCTCATCTCTGGAAAAACTGTACTCCTCCTCGTCAGTATTTCAATCATGCAAACTGTCATGCAAAGCCTCTGTCCCTCCCTGTTATCTTGTTTGGAATAACCTTACCAGCTCTCGGTCTTGCTGATTCAGGCAACCGTTATTTGAACGGCTGTATTCTTAACAATCCTGAAATGCATTTAGGTCTTCACCAACATGGCAGCTTACGACTACTCATACAGCAGTATTCCTAAGAGAGGGCTTATGAGTCATCAAGTGCACCTGGAAGTAGGATCACAAGTAGACGACTAAACTACTACTGATTCCTTAAGAAGATCTAAAATTTAGGAAACTGATCTAATTTCCTTCTGGTAAAAATTCTAGACATGAAATTTTCTGTGCAGTGATAAAAGCTTTTTTTTAAGCCAGAGTTGGTTTCAGATATTTCAGACTTCTCTTAAAAATTACGCTTGCTTCTTCTCAATTTAGAGTCTGTACACAGTAACATTCATTTGAGCCATCAGCAGTTGAAATTATTTACATTTACCAAGTGGCCTTTAAATGGCATTCACTAAGGAGGGAAAGAACACCTCATCATGTCTAATGTAAGTGCATGAGTAGGTGTGCATGTGTGTACACAGACACACAACCACTATGGGAAAACTTACCTAACTGTTCCTTAGTGCGCAGAGTATTGAAGCACGGTTCTGAGATGATTTGACAAAAGAGCTCCAAAAACATATTCTCAGAAGTGCTCTGCATGTCTGTCTGGTAATATATTTCAATGCCACAATTGTTATGCACTTCATTTCTCTGTTGATATACAAACCAGCCTCCTAAAAAAAAAAAGTTAAAACATTCAAGTTCATAAAAATGTACATTCCTACTGTCCACAATTAAAAAAAATGATCAATCACTCGTGGAATGGAATGACAATAAATTGCTAAGGACTGTTACAGCAGAATTGCCATAACAGCATACTTTTCATGAAACAAGTAAAGAAAAGATTATTTTAATAGATCGAAATGTCACAGCTGAGCATATCAGCAAATAAATTGAAACTGGCTGCTTCTCCTCAAGGAAGTATTTTTGGAACTGGAGCAGAATTCTGCACTGCCTCTACTGTGTAAACAGTTTCTAAAGACAGTTTGTCAGAAACATTTATGAACATTAGAAATAATTCAGCATTTAATACCAATAGCTTCTTTGTTACCTGGTGGTTTCCACAGGCTGATGATCAGCTATGTGTGATTGGCTTTGGCTATGTGGCTACACATGTCACCACTCCTGTATATCTCCCAGCAATTCCTTGAACTTACTTTTCTTATAAATAAGTTTTTTTTGCACAATAGAGCTAAAATCATATATAAACACTAGGAGACCAAAGCAATTTTTATCAGAAAAAAACCACAAAGCTTTTAAATACCTCAAAAAGGAAGACACATTTAGGACAATCCTTCACTGAATAGTCTATTAATACTCAAAAGTACTCAAAGAATGTTGCTTATTCAAATGTGCATGCTATCATTAGCAGAGAGTGAGACCGGGCTTACTTCCATAAATCATACCAAGTGAATTAGGATTGAATCACAGAATGGTTTAGGTTGGAAGGGACCTTAAAGATCACCTAATTTCAACTCCTAAGAAGTCCAATTTACACAGACAGATTAAAAATGACACAAAATTAATTTTCAAGTATACCAGAAAGATGATATTTAGTGTATAAAACCACACGCTAATTATATTTTTAAATTTAAATTTTAAAATCATTTGGAGTAAGTCTGATTTTGAAACAAACTCCTAGCAACAGAGTAATACTCATTTCAAACGCCATTAGCAAAGAACCTCAATTTAACGTGTGCTGAAAAACTGTACATAAATCCTTTGACTCACTGTCAGGAAGCTGCACTTCTCTGTATCTCACTAGCTGACTGGGAAGGAGTGGCTTTGTATGAGCATGCTCGATGAGAGTGTCCTCAACCATCTGCATAATTCCTAATGCAGCCTGGAAAACACAAGAATATTTTTAATGATTATTAGTTATTCTGTACCTAAAAGCAAGCTAAGACTTTCCAATTATTGATGGTGACATGAGAGGAAAAAAAAAAAAAAAAAGAAAAAAATCAGGAACAGAAAGCAGAGAAATTGTAATTCAATGAAAATACAGTAGAAGTTAAGTAGACAAGAGGAAGCGGGGGCTTGTGGGGGAAGGAGTTTGGTGGTTTGTTTGTGTGTTGTTTTTTTTTTACATTTATCTTGTCTACATGTTTAACTGCTACTACTCCTCCCCAACACTTCTGAAATTAAAGTTCAATGGGCTTTTTTTCCCTTTCCCTTCACTGCTTTCATGTGCTGTACATCTTTCATCTTTCAAAGTTTGAAAACAAGATACCTATGATGTATGCTTGCACAGCAAATGATGTCTCAGCAGATGGAATTTTAAGAAAATTAATTAATGCTTAAGTTCAAACATGTATTCCATATTTGGAAAAAAAAAATTGGAGAAGTCCTTGAAAAATAAAACTTTTTGCATCCCGTGCTGTTGACTCCTTCATATTTTTGTGCTTCCCTCCTCACTAGTTAACTTTCTTCTCCGTACATCCAGCAGTGACCAGCGGTGCTTATAACTTCTCCTATTAGTAAAGTGTCACAGAGGTGGTGTAACACAGAAATACTGCTATACTAACCCTACAAAAAAAGAATGCACAAATGTACAGGAAAGGTACTACATATGTATTGGTACATATATTCAAATATTTGATTAAATTTCCTTTGCAAATACAAACTGTTACTATTTTAGTGGAAGACAGAACAAAGCAGCTTGATCCACATCACAGTAATGACACACAACATAGACTTTAAAACATTTAGATCGTAAGTTACTTTTTATTAAATTTCCAAGAGCAATACAAGGGCAGCACTTGGTCTAATAAAACTAAAGTGGAAAAAAATGACACTGTGATACTCCCATAAAGTTAAAATTTACGAAGTCAGATTATGAAATCACGTTTGGCCAAGCTGCTTTAAGATCTGAGAAGATTAAACTAGTCTTCCATTTTTCATGCTGCTTTTAAATAAAAATTGTTTTACTAAAGAAAGTATCACACTAACCTGTTTGGTTATATTGCCATGGAGAAGAGCTTCAATGTGTAACCGTGACAACAGTTGAGCTATAAAGGCCTTGAGGCGGGGAAGAGTGACATCTAGAATAGATATTTAGACAGTTAAATCAATTATATGCATTTTTACATTAATAAGTACAGAACTCATCATTAGATACGGTGCATTTCTTAGAGGAGGAGAAACTCATCATCATGAAAAAGCGAATCTTTCCTTAAAAATGCAACATTGGAAAGATTCCAGGTCTAAATAGCAGCACTCATTGTATAAGTTGTTTCGCTTAGAATTCACATACCATCTGGCTCAGATTCCAGAAAGAGATGGAGAAAAGACCCAAAAAACCCCTTCATTCCAATCATGCTGAATAATCGTTCATTATCCAGAGAAAACAGTTGCAATCGTTCAGGTGGTGTTCCAAGATAAAGCCTTAGTTATTAACTAAACGAGCAGCACGTAGTCTATCACACTCGAGAAACACACTGTGCATTTACCATCTAGGCTAAAAAAGAACCTCAGCTCAAATATGGTGCTTTGATAGTATCTTTGTAACAAACAATACACAAGAAAAACATTTTTGCAATATATCCCAGAGTACACACTCTATGCTAGCCTGTCATTGCAAAGCAGCTTTCATATATAATGCCAAGTATAGCTTAACACATAGAATCAGGGAGGAAGGATGGCTGAATGGATGGGGTGTTCATCCCAAAGTCAACATATCCAGTCTTAATTCCCTGACTCTGTAAGAATAACCACACTGTATCACCAAATCTATTAATTTCTCGTCAGGTAATTTTCTCAACTGAAATAAAAACTAACAATACTCATGTATTTCACAAGAGTTTTGAAAAGACAAATGCAATCATGATTATGAGGTCCCTCAGTTTTTCAGTGGGGGATGCATAGATAGTCCACCAGCAAATAATTCAGTTGCACATTTACCCCTGATTCCAAATCAACTTTTTATTGTTGTGTAATCCTAATCTTAGTTTTTGCCTCTGGAATTGCTTATTAACAGTGCAAAAGATTACAGTCACATTGAGTGTAAGAGAGCAAAAGAGAAAAAAAACAACCATGCATGAACTCCCTGTATTTCAGGCAGATTTCCAGCAGTGCTAAGTAGACAGCATTCCTTTCCAGCATTCAATTTCTTATGCTGAACACAGTAGCAGTAATCTTATAAAGACAACCTAAACACGGAACAGAAAATCTCTTACTTTTTCAAAATTCAGTAGCTCATACGAAAGGCATGGCCTACACATAGCTGAACGAACTGCCACGACAATCAGCGTTGGTTTTGTCATTGACTTTACAGGCAGCACAGGCACCACTGCTAACCTCAGATACACCTGCCATCACTCAAGAAACTATACAACTAAACATTTATATTTCTATCCTGGTCCAATCCTGCAGAAAAAACACACCCCCCTGCGCAGCTGTCTCAGGGCATCTCTAGAGTCTATCACAATGAAGCTGTTTTCAGCATCACAACTTCACACAGTATGGTATGTGTCAGTCTGACAACTACGGGTACGTATTCTGAATCCACCCCCTCAAATCAATACAAAAGCCAGACATTCTTCTTTAAAAGAATGTCTTGGTGTATTCCAAGAAGATATTCCAAGATATTTTGCAAACTGCCCCAGTAACAGCCTTTGTTATTATGATACAAGTAAGGAAGGAGTAAGGAGTTCTTCGGCTATTACTAAAATAAATTAAATCTTAGTTTGAAATTTCTTCTTCCTCCAAATATAGTGAGGCACCTGCTCTTTGTTAAGCTTCAACAAGGTCAAGTGCCAGGTCCTGCACTTGGGTCGCAATAACCCCATGGACGCTACAGGCTTGGGGACGAGTGGCTGGAAAGGACCTGGGGTCCTGGTGGACAGCAGGATGACCATGAGCCAGCAATGTGCCCTTGAGCCAAGAAGGCCAATGGCATCCTGGGGTGTATCAGAAAGGGTGGTTAATAGGTCAGAGAGGTTCTCCTTCCCCTCTACTCTGCCCTGGTGAGACCACATCTGCAATATTGTGTTCAGTTCTGGGCCCCTCAGGTCAAGAAGGACAGGGAACTGCTGGAGAGAGTCCAGCAGAGCCACAGAGATGATGGAGGGAGTGGAGCATCTCCTGCTGAGGAGCGGCTGAGGGAGCTGGGGCTCTTTAGCTTGGAGAAGAGGAGACTGAGGGGTGACCTCATCCATGTTTATAAATTTGTAAAGGGCGAGTGTCAGGAGGAAGGAGCCAGGCTCTGCTCTGTGATGTCCAATGCCAGGACAAGGGGCAATGGGTGCAAGCTGGAGCACGGGAGGTTCAATCTGAATATGAGGAAAAACTTTTTCACTGTGAGGGTGACAGAGCATGGCCCAGGCTGCCCAGAGAGGTTGTGGAGTCTCCTTCTCTGCAGACATTCAAAACCTGCCTGGACGTGTTCCTGTGTGACCTGGTCTGGGTGATCCTGCTCTGGCAGGGAGGTTGGACTGGATGAGCTTTTGAGGCCCCAACTCCTAATAATCTGTGATTCTGTTAAGAACTACAATGTTCCTTATTATAATTATTATCTACAGAAATTTCATTTTTTTTTCTACATTATTTACAGTTCTTTATTATAAACAGAAACAGCAGTTAGGATTTCCTGATAAAGGGCATTGGGAACTACAATGTAGATGCAAGATGCCAACCAGAGCTGAGTGATTTTAGCAGTGTTGGTTAAGCACTGGATTCACCATACCCAGGCTCATGTCCGCAAAGCCATTCAAGCTTTGCCTGAAGTTTTACATGCAAATTTTGCCATTTGAGGCCTTTTGCTTGAACTACTCTGCTTTCTAGAAACTGGAGGACTAGTGCAGAAGCATCGACATCCACCAGCATCAGGTCAGGTCTGGCACTGCAGTGACTTCACTTGAATAATGGACACAGTTCAAAAGAGGTACCTTCATTAGTTTAGTAACAAGACATTTTCGATAAGAATAAAAGTAATAAAATTTAACATTGGCAGAACATTACCATCTAGAGCTTCTTTTAATTCATCTTTGGTCCAAGCAACTTCTGTCATCAGGAGTCTGAGATAATACATTGCATGCTGGTGAGGCTGTTCAGCCCTGAAGTTGTTAAGCGATCTCATGTACTAAAACAAAATAATTAAGTTGGAATTATAGAACTCTATTTCTAAACATAAAATATTAACCTTGTACTCTCAACTCTGTGGACCATCAAAAAGATACATTTCAAATGTCAAGAACGTTCTCTTGCTTGTTAGACTTGTTAAAAAAATTGCGTTAAATTACCTTAGTAATATTGTGGGCTTCTGAGCCTATGGACTAAGCAGTAACCACTGAGACAGTTGAAATGAGCATGAAATCAAACTGCTCCATGAACTTAATGACTGGAAACTAAAATTTGAAGTTAGATCTCAGTAAGTATTTAGATCAAGTTGTTCTACGCAGGAAATATGCACTCTGTGATGACTGTCCAGGAGTGATGGGGGAATACTGCTAATAGAAAAACGTATTTTCCTCCCAGTTGCTTCCCTGGGTTGACTTGGTCAGAAAAATACAGGAGCATCTGGGGAATTCTTTACTTGGTTAAAAGAGGTATGAGAGTTTCTCCAAAGAAACTCCTTTTCAGTCCAGCTGCAGCTTTACAAAATAAGCAAACCCTTTTTCCTCTACCAGAGGAACTGGAAAGTGCAAACTAATAGTTTTGGCAAGCTGGGTTCATTTCCACTACAGGACAAAAGTAACTCCTTTCAGGGCACATAAGTGAAAAACAGCAAGCATGAAGTTGCTGAGGATGCACCCTTCTATCTGTTCCAAACTGAAGCCAGAGGCTGGTATCTCCCTTATCTGCTAGGTGTAGACATAAGGGGCAAAACTGCAATCTCCTCATTTGACTTTTAAAAATTTTGTCCTTATTTAACATACATAAAAGGCCTATGTAACAAAAGTCTATTAAATGACAAAACATGCATAATACAGAGACAAACTTCAAGTGAACTGTAAAGACAACCAGGGAAAAACCTTAACCTAAAACAAGGTGGGATTTTTTTACCTTGCATTTGTCTCATCCAGTTAAAACCTTCCAGAAAATTAATATATCTTAGGTACACAGAGCTCTAAATACAATGCTGTTACAATAAATCTACCTCATGCTTGACAGCCACCTGCTTAGAATTTCCTACTAAATAGTAATGAACTAAAGATGGCCCTGGTGTCTGTCTAGGCCAAATTACCAGCAGCAGAGAATTGAAGTAAGAGTACAGCAAGCATGGGGTGATCTTCCTGCAGCACAAGTCTCTCTGCAGACTATTTGCATGCTCTCTGGGCCAGAAGTCAGCCTGTTCCCCAACACCAGTCTAATCCTTGTGCATTCATTTATACCACCACAACAACTCATCGCTATGAGTGCCAATATCTAATTTATTTCCTTTGTTTTATCTCTGTCTTGCTCTGAAGAAAGCACCAGAATAATGACTATGTATCTTGTTTGGCTTAGTAAATGTCATCACTGCTCACAAATTTACTTCAGGAACTAAAAAAAAAATAAAAAATAAAAAATAAAAAAATCTAGCTTACATTCTATATATATAGATCAGTCATTAAATTTAGGAAGTGAGACTTCCAGAGGTCTGCATGTACTTAGCCAGCTGGTTACTTTTGCACCAAAGGATCTTGGGCCAGGAGCAGAGCTCCTCTTCCTATCTGGCGAGAAGAAATGCTGCAAATCTTCTCAACACTTCCTTTTTCCCCTTCATCCATTTTCCCCATCTCTTATGGCGAGAGCCCACTGGGGCCTTTCCAAACTGTCATATAGGATATAAAGTTAAGATTTCCCCTCCGTGTCCCTGTTCTTAGATTTCTACTCCTATCAAAACAAGCTGCAGTCCTTTGGAATAATCCTAAGAAAGACCAACTGAAAGAAGATTCCAGGGCCACTTATTTTTTAACTAAAGAATGTAATACAGACACTACAGAGAACTCATGGCCACAAAGATGACAAAAGAAAAAAGCTTCTACAGTCCCAGTTAGGCAGAATTTCACTCTGTAATTCCATGGATAATCAGCCCTCAGATTTCACGCTGATGTATTCAATTTAAAATTACTCCAAAATGTAAGTTTCTCATGTAGCTTACCGCTTCCTTGATAATTTCAAATCGTTTCTCATCAATCTCAAAAGTAGCCATTTTCTCAATGATCTTCTTGAGCAAGATATGTTGCTTGTCATTATAACCTTTTACAGAAAGCTATGGAAAAAGCGCATAATTTGCTTTAAATGTGGAACATAAAAGAATAAAACAATCACCGAGTCCTGTATAATTCAATGAACAATACCCTTTTCAACACTCACTTTAAATTCAACATTAACTCATTCTGAAATAAAATCCCCTTACCCGTCAAAGTTATGAATGCAGAGAATTAATGTAATTTCCTGTTGATGTAAGCAAATTGTACTCAGAACACACATTTGAAATGATTACAAGTATTGAGACCAGTCAGTAAATTGTACCTTTGGAGGACTGAAGTGGTTTTACTCTCGGTTTCTACTTTTAGTAGTGATATCTAGAGTCACAGCCTTCTCAAATATCCTCTCTGGTTTACTTTTTAACATGTTTCATGTTTACCTTGTTGCTCAAAAAAGTATCTTCCGTAAGTGGAAGTAAGCAGTACCACGGGAAAAGGGACACAGCCAACAGCAGCGCTATTTCTTACCAGGATGGTGCTGGGCTGACCCACCAAGGCTGTCTAACTGGACAACAATCGTAGTGAGATCTTGAACTGACCATATACTTTTTTTTGAAAGTATACATGAAATAAACTTGGTCATTTAAAAAACAACATAGAAACTTACAAACTCCCATATGATTGCATCAAGTTACAGAAAGTTTGTCTAGTGAAAAAAAGGCATTAGAAGGACTTTTTTGGGGGGAGCAGGGGGTAGAAAACCTTCAAAATCTGCTATCTTGAAACAGGAATTTAATTGGATTTGTGCAGTTTAATTATCAAGAGCAAAACTAAATTTTAGGACACAAATCAACATACAGGTGAATTCCTGCTTTCCAGTAGAAGCAAATTTTTCTTCTATAGTTGTTGAAACATACCTGAACCACGAATTTGAAGAAAAATCTATCGTAAATGGATTTATGGCAAAGGCTGATATCCTAAACTAGCACAAGAACCCAAACTGTTCAACAATCACCACAGATGATTGTTTTCAGTGTAGCATCTGTCTTTGCTTAAAGTATCAACATTGTACAGTTACATCTATTGACTTTAAAACTTCTCACAATGTAGAAAATATTAGAAGTTCCCAGGTATCAAAATACAAAACCCACTTAACATTTAAAATAACTCCAAACTTCTAAACTGTGACTAAAATGAAAGTCCCACACACATCTCCACTCCTCTCTTTTTTTAAAAAGGGATTAACTCCAACCATGGGAACATCAGCAAGCTTTGAAACTGAGAACAGGTAACGATGCTCGCAGCAAGTTAAGTGAATGCTACCAGGAAATGAGATTTACATTGAGTAATACAAGAAACTGCAGCACTCTTTCATGCATAAGATGTAAAGACAATATACCGTGTATTCTCTTCCTAAAATGCTTTGAAAAATAATACTTCTATAGGAAATTTCAAGACACATTTTGGTACAAGATGATGGTTTATAAAAGCTGTTAACAGAACTTCAAGAAAGACTATTAAAATCTCCTACCATAAATCTCATAGAGGCTAAGTAAGAAATAACCATCTATCACAATATCAGTATTTATCAAGTAAGTATCGTCAGCGTTTTAAAACGGATTATAGAACACGTAACAAAAACAAAGACTAAGGAAAAGCTGTAAATATCCATCCTTGCATTCTACTGAACACATGCACACTCCAATTCCGCAGCTCACTGCAACAGAATTAGAGAATTATGTCGAAATCTGTAAAGCTGAGAGTCATTCAACAGAAAAGTTAATCTGTTTATGTAGAAACCAGCAACAGTACTTTCAAGACTGCCATGCAAGCAAGTAAAAATCTGAACTAGAATGCAACAACTGCACTGCACACATGTTCACAAGACACTGCAATCTTAAACAGGTCACTCGGTGCTGATTAAAATACAGTTCTGCTTTGCCTTTAATCCATGAGATATATGCAAGGAAAAAAACATTAACCATCTCATTCAGAAATGCAGAAGTCAAATGTTTTCTCCAAGCTCAAAAACTCCCAAGCTGTTTCATTTCGCCCTGCGTTTTTTTTCTTACTTACAAGTATTGCATTCATTCCTGATGCAATGCCATAGATCAAACCTGAGAGGCGTGCTGCATATGTATACTCTTTTAAATCATCCTTCAATAACCTGATAAACAGGTATGTCATGTTGCAATGGAGAGGATCAGCATAAATGTAGCGACTAACAAAAAGAAAAACAAAAGAAATGCTTTGATACCTCAAGCAGTGACAAAGTAATGGATGAAGAAACATGACTGAAGAGTATGTATATGCAGCCTCATGATCAGTGTTCTTTAACAAGAAAGCTGAGGTGTACCGTTTATTTAATAGCATGAAAAGGGGATCTTCCATCCCATCAGTCAGAAAGTTTTTAGTAGGTATCTGACAAACCGAAACATCTTTAAGCTTGGACTAGAGTTGCTTTTTTCTTTTTTTAAAATGGATGAACAAATCTTACAACTAATTAATTTCATGAATTATATAAAAATAAATAAGAAAATTTGCTTAATATGAATGGACAGGTTGTTGAAGACTTTGAACAAAATTCAACTTAAAATTCAAATTAACGAAAGGATGGTTAATAACCAAGATCAAAAGGAGTAACAGCCTTAGACCCATTTTTTAAGTAAAAGTCCTTCCATCAAATCAATATAAAAATGTTGATGAGTGGAAGAAGTTTTAAGGCTCTAAGCTCTTCCTTGATTTGGGTACTTACATACATCCCATAGATGGTATTTTGGAGATCATAGTTCAAGCCAGCTAGTTCTGCTGCATATGCATACTCGTTGAGGGAGTCTTTGAGTAGTTCAAGGTACAAATAGGCCATGTTACAATGCAAGGGATCCACGTAAGCAAATGGGCTGGAAGAAAATGTTGAAAGTAAATTATGCAGTTTAAAATTATTTCTCAGCTTCTTTTGGCCTTTTAAGTTTGATCTGAAGGAAACAATGTTTACTGTGAGTACGCTGATGGATCCCATTATGAAGGATTCCCATTTCAAAGTCACATATGAAGACACCTGAAAATAATTATTTAGCTTGCTTACGGTTTAAGCGATGCAAATATATTGAAGATTCCAGAGATATTCTCTTATTTGTGCTCATAGATCAACTCACACTGTATTTACTTTGCTGCACAGTCAGAATTCACCAGGAGTAGAATAAACTAAACACAGTCTGAACAATCAATATAATTTAATAGACTGAAATGAAAGCCTCTGTACCAAACATTAACTTAAATAATACTTTAATCAGAAAATAAAGTAGTTTGTATTACAAAAAAATTAAGAGATTCACAATTTGTGGCATGAAAAATATGCAGTACATGCTAAGTTCAGCTCAGGAAAGAAGTCTGGAATATCTGTTTTCATACCACCGTAATTCTGTGTGTTACCTTTTTAATGGCAACAACTACGCAAGCTCCACTGTTCCATTAGAACATCTGGTCACATACAACATCTGATCACATTAGAATCCATCTGATCACATACAACACAGCTGCAAATTTCTCAAAAAGAGAATGCAACTCAAAGACAGTCCATGTTTCAACTGCGCTGTTAAATATCTGTGTGTTTTAAAGATCTGCAAAGTCGAGACAAGTTATTTGTACTACGACTGAATATTCATTTCTAAAACTTCTGAAGTGCATGTAAATTTATTATCAGTTTCACAGAAATACTCAGCAGTATCTAAAACAATGTGCCGTCAGGATATGGCTTACAATTCAAAACCACGTCATTTGCATTTGTTTTCCCTAAGCAGACACTAATGGTCATAATCAGACATGCTATTACTTAAGTTCATGCTTATATAGCATGGTATTTCAGAGTGTGCACCAACATTAATGTAGTAAAACAAAGATCACATCACCACAACACACGTGCTGATAACTTTAAAATACACTGAAAAAGTATTCTTAAGAAGATTCCTAGCAGTTTTTAAGACCCTGACTTCTCCTTCCTTTTAGACAAAGGAAAGGAAGCACGGAAAGAGATTTAAAAACAAACCAAACCACCCCAAATAAACAACAAAACACAAAACAAAACAAAACCAACAAAAAACACCCACCAAAAAACCAAACACAAACCACCACCATCAAAAAAACTCCACCAAAACCTATTGGAGAAGCAGAGCCTGCTACAGTCTAAAGCCTGGGATATGTTCTTTTACTGCCACTGGGTTAATGATTCTGGGCTTGGACTTGTGTTGAGCAAACAGGTCAGTAAAAAGAAAACAAGAAACAAACACACAGAAAAGTCAACAAAAAAATCCACTGCTATTTGCATTTCTCCTTACAATATGAATTTCCCAAAACTGAGCAACTTCAATATGCCTAATGATGTGAATCCAATTAATACTGAATTTTTAATTTACGACTTGAACTCAAAGCAGGATGTAGGTCAATCCTATGTTAACAGAAACTTTCCTCCAGACTCATCATATTCTTTTCCATTTTGACACTATAACAGAGGCTTAATCAGTGTGAGTGATTACTATGTCTGTATAAGTTATAACTTCTGTATACTTGTTTAGCTGGCAAAGGCCAACAGGGAGTTTTGAAAATAATGAAGACTACTAGTTCATGAATCCTCAAGTGAAAAATAACAAAAAACAACTACTGTAACACTGCTCTGGGAGTTGGCTTCTATTAGACAACTTTGTGAATAAATGCTACTTTCTAGTTCACCTCTTTTTGACTAGACTTGAAGAAGCAGAACAACTCAACCACTGATGGTGTAGTCCAGTCCTTTCCCCTTTCACACAGAGTTGTACGTGACATAGCTAGAACCTATAGTGTTGACCCTGGGTTACTTACGAGCAACTCAAGTTGCTTGAAATATTTCTTAAACTGGAAGGTTGCAAGTATCCAGTTAAAATACTTAGCATTGTATTTTTAGCATCCATCTCTCAAAACCTTGAGAAACTTGAAGTGCAGAGTCAATAACTACCTTTAGGAAGTTTTCAAAACAACAGCACATAACATTGTTATTTTGCTTCCTTTCAAACAAGGATGCTTATTGAGTTCTTAAGTCTGTAATTCATTAAAAAATCAAAAGCCCATCATCATCCTTTAGGCTGGGTGGTAAGTCCTGTATCAGAGGTTTTTACAGGTGTTTCTTTAATGGAAAATTTCTGCCATGCAAAGCTTTTCAGTTTTGGAACAAGGCAACGTCAAGAGGTTCATATACTCAAGATTGCTCCCACTGGATTTATGTTTGAGCAAGAAACCACCTTCACAATCTAATTCACCTACACAGCAGTTGCTGCTGTAACATCTGGGTCAGGAATTCTTCCAATGATGTGTGATGATCAAATCCTCCTAGTTTTTTCCATCTCGCTGAAGCAGTCTGTAGTATGAACAAAGTTTTGCAATCTGCTCCGTGGCAGCACAGCCATCATAATCTGATCTAGAATTGAGACTACAACTTTTTAAGGAAACCCATGTTATTAAGAAGGCTTTATTCACCAATTCACTTGGCCACAGGAGCTATGGGTAACTTTATCAAGTCTCAAACACACACTACAGATTTCACCATTTCCTCCAATAACAAGCAGCATGACCAGTCTCAAGACAGAAAGAAATTCACTAAGAATCTTTCTTAAGTACCAAGACCAGATGAATTTGCTTAAAACTTATTTTGGAAATTATGTACTTGATATTGTCAAAATCTCCTTGCATTCATTCATACACAATTACCATCTTATTTTTAAAGAAAAGGAAAGAACCCTCACCCCCAGGCCTAAGAAGAAGGACAGCTTTTCACCCGTAACCATTCCTAGAAGGAAAGGGGCAAATCATTCAATCAGTCAGCAAAACTCAAGTACTCCTGGCTTTTTAAAAGGGCTCACTGAGACAGACTATCACCACATACCGAGTTGAAGATATCCCTGCTCATTGCAGGACAGTTGGACCAGATGACCTTGAAAGGTCCCTGCCAACCCAAACCATTCTATGATTCTATGACATTGTGTGCATGTGTGCACACTTAAAACTTTGTGTGTTCTACATAAAATCAATTATTCATCTTCTAATTGTTCACAAACTGGTATAGAGATTGGGTCACTCATAGTTCATTTGGAATTGATTAAAACAGCCCAAACAAACCAACCACAACTGTATTACAAACAGCATTGATCACTAACATCCTGTTTCAGATTTCAGCCAAACATAGCACAAGGGAACGTCACCAGGTATGAACAAAAGAGCCAAAGTATTGGAATTGGTGTTTTCTGAATAAGAGATGACCAGTTACCATTCTCATCTTCCACTTCCTGACACATCGAAGTTGGAACAGTTGTAACATTTTCCCTGTGGTTTCAAAAAGTAAAAAGGAAATGCCCAGGAAACCCATTTTCCCCGACTAGTACCAATACCAGTACCAAGATCTGACCCTCTGAAAAACCCCTCTGTCTAAAATTTTGCCAAGAAAAATATCAAGTGATCACTCAAAACAAGGACTCAACTGCGTATCTATGGGCATATATCAGAGCCCACATAATAGCCTTCCCAGCAATATCACTGAATCGTTTAATTAGGCCAAAGGAGGAGAATTACTTTCACTTTCAGTAGTTCGGGACAGAAAAAGTTGCACTTTAAAGACAGCAGTGATTTTTTTTTTTTTTAATTAAAAAGTTAAAAAAATATTACTCGAAACAAACATTAAGGAGGTACATCACTGTCATGCTCACTTAAGAAAAAAGAAAGATAATTTTCCTGTGACGAAAATAATGCAAAACCAGAATTAAGATTACAGCAACGTATCATGCATCTTGAGGCAAGAACCACACAGTCATTGATAATGCAGACGATGCTCTTCTAATTCTTGGTGTCAGTTGAATAAAATCTCTTAATTTTAAGCACTTAGAATTTTATAGAGACTTTCATTATGCAAATTAAAACAGAACTTGAACCCAAAATCATTATCAGAATAGCATTTTGTAAGAAAACACTACCTTAAAATAGTTGTGATTTAGTCATTAATTAAAAATAATACACACCCATTTTAAGAGGTGTATTGCAATATTGTCCTGGTTTGAGCTAAATAGAACTAATTTTCTATCTAGTGATTTTACTTTTCAGCTCAGTCTCTAAATTTAAAGTGGCTGAACTTGCTGAAACTAGCAGCATGTTTTCCCAGTATGTGCTGCTAGAAGATAAGCTCAAGGTCAGTTGTCTCACCATGGGTGCTGTGTCTGCACCTACGGGGGAAGCAGCAGACCCAAAACTGACCAACGAAGTATTCCATCCCACATACGTCATACTCGGGATAAAGCTGAGGGATCACGAGGGTCTCGAACTTTCTTCCATCTTGGAGCCCTCCCATCTCTGTCTCTTCCATCCATCTCGATCCTGCAGAGGCCGAGGTCTGAGCAGAACCTTGCTGGTTCATCTGTCTCTGATCCTGATCCCTGTGTTTCTGCATCAGCTCCCACTGCTGCTGAGTTTGGTCTGGGACTTTTCCAGTGCTCCCAGAGCCTCTGGTGACGTATTCGTCATTGGGGGAGGATTTTATATTGGTTTTGTATTTATTTGTATGTATTTCATTGTTTTCCTATTTACATCATTATCCTGTAGCATTAGTATTATTGTTTTATCAAACCTGTTAGTTTATTTGCCAACCCGTAAAGTCTCTCTCCCTTATTCTCTTTTCTCTTCCCTTCTGGGGAGGGGAGAGGGGTTAACAGAGAGCGTCTGTCCAGGATTTAGTGGCCAGCCCAGCCCTAAACCACGACAAATACGTAGTAGGTCCTATTAGCAGGCAATAAAACATAGAAGAAAATCTGTTTAAAAAGTACTTTTAGATAAGCTTTTCCCGTTAACATAGATGGAGCACCTCAAACTGCTTGCAACTCGACTACTGCATAACTTACATGAGCCTTCCTGCTATCTGTATTTTATTGCATATTCCCAAGTAAGTACAAATGTTTTAAAGCTTTAACACATGCAAGAAAGTTTTTGCTACAGAAATGCAGATTCTCAACAAACAAGAAACTTTTGGAGAGCAACTTCTGTGATATACTTAACATTACATACCTGAAAAATTCAAAGTTGAGACAGGCTTTTGGCAAAAAAAATTTGTCATCTTGCTTGAACCACAGTTTGCTCATAGCAGTGTCCTGTGTCAAGAAAAGACATTAAGTCACCAAACTTAACTGTAATATATTGCATTATTTAAAAAAAAAGTCTCGTCACCACTTCAAATCTCAGTTTAGAGTTGTCCCCTTAAATTCATACTCTCGCTATATGCACTTGTGTCTATTTTAAAAACACATAGGAATTAATTGCTAACTTCCCAGAAGTTTAGATAGCAAACAGAACAAATATAGGTAGTTTACCTTGACAAGGGCAGGGTACTGTGTTGCATCTTTCTCCAGTGGCAAAATCTCAAAGTTAGTAGGAATGAACTCGTTCTTCATCGGAAGTTTGAACTTCCCATTCAGGTCAGCATTCTGCCATTTCTAGATGAAGAGAAGAAACAATGAAGCTAAACAGAATTTCTGCTTCATGAATGGATATATATTTATTTTTTAAATATTTTATTACAGCATAAAATAGCATGTTTCACTAGCTTAGGTGTAAATATGATAATGCGGAAAGACAGAAAT